CAGTATTTGACTTTTGTGACAGAGATATTTCACTCAGCATAATGTCCTCCAGGGTCACTAATTTTGTATAATATTTCATGAGTTCCTTGTTTTTCAGTGCTGCATAGTATTCCATTGTGTGACTATACCACAGCTTCTCTATCCATTCATTTGCTGATGGGCACTTGGGTTGCTTCCAACTCTTTGCTATTGTGAAGAACGCAGCAGTAAACATAGGTATGCTTATATCTGTTTGTGTGGCAGTTCTGATTTCTTTAGGATATATTCCCAGTAGTGCAATTGCTGGGTCAAAATGGTATTTCTATTTCAAACTTTTTGAGAAATTATCATAATGCCTTCTGGAGTGGCTACACTATTTTACACTCCCACCAACAGTGAATAAGTTTTCCAATTTCTCCACAACCTCACCAGAATTTGCTGTTTGCTGCTCTGTTGGATTTTGCTATTGTTACTGGGGTGAGATAATATCTCATAGTTGTTTTGACTTGTATCTTAGAGCTAGGGATTTTGAACATTTCTTCATTTGTTTGTTCACCATTTGAATGTCTTCTTTGGTGAAGTGTCTGTTCATATCCTGTGCCCATTTTGCAATTGGATTGTTTACCTTTATCTTGTTGAGGTGCTGAAGTATTCTATAAATCCTAGATATAAGTTCCTTATCAGACATGTTATTACCAAATATTTTCCCCAGTCTGTAGCTTTACTTTTTACCTTGTCGGAGAAGTTTTTTGATGTGCATTGGGATTTGAGTCTTAGAAGGTCCCATTTATCTATTTTATTCTCTGCTGGTTGTAGGTTTTCTAGGGTGCTTGGAAGACTGTTCATGTTGTGGATTAGGGCTAGAGTTTTTCCGAGTTTTTCTCTCATGAAGTCTATAGTCCTTGGTTTTACTTCCAGGTCCTTTATGCTCCAGCTTTATAAACTATGTTATACCAACTGAACTGGCTGTCCATCCCCTGAAACAGTGTTCAGAATCCTCAAAGCCCAGCAACTCATTATCTCAAGGTAGTTGGTTATGGATATATTTTCCACAATTTAGTACCTGAGTACTCTATACATGGGTATATTTATAACACATACAAATACATATGTAGAAATATGCTCTATCTATATTTGGTCATGAGTGTAGTTTCATTTGTATACCCATGCCTGTTTAGCTTGTCTGTCTCCTATGTACCCAATTGTAGATCACTGTTTACAATTACTGGTATCTCATGATTGTGTATGTAATAGTATTCACTTCTGTTGTCAGTAACTTAAACAAATTTTTTTGTATTATGATTTGAGTGAAAGTTTACAAAATAAACTAATTTTTTCACTCACTCATTCATGAATATTTTTGTTGCCTCTAACTCCTGTGCAGGAGCTAATGGCAAGAGGTTGTGCTGCAATCCTGAAGGCCGAAGTTTGAATCTACCAGATGCTTCATGGGAGAAAGATGAGCAATCTTCTTCTGTGCTATTTACAGCCTCTGAAAAGCCTCTGGAGTGTTAGCTTTGGATAGTAAACAATAATAAACTCTAAAAAAAATTAGTACAAACTACTGTATGTATCTCAAAGTGTTAATATAGTAGGCTTTCCTGGGGCTGGTTCATAAGCATAGGTTATGTGTAAATCAGGCATTTATTTGTATCTATCCTAGGGACAATCTACATTTGGAATTGTTATAGAATTGAAGATAAAATGTGTAAAGTGTCTATCAGTTTAAAGTGCCTGGCAGAGTATCTGTTATTTAGTAAGTAATAAGTGATTGTTTTGCACCATCAAGTTGGAATTGACCCATAGGTTACCCTCCAGTGGAATGTCAGAGGTAGTACACTGCACTGGATGAGATTGCCTGTTCTTCTACTGTGGAACAGCTGTGGATTTGAACCATGCCTTTGCATTTGCAGTGCGACTCCTTACCACTAGGCCAACACAGATCCCTAATAAGTTATAGCAATAGTTTATAGAGTGGTTATTACTATTAAAATTATAATTGAAAAAAGAATATATTAAGGAATCATTATTCAAATTCAAATTCTAAAATGACTCACCATTTTCTTTTAGTTTCATCACATTTTCTTTAAATTTCTCTACTTCCAGTTGAGCTACTTGAAGAGTAGAATCTAAAAA